AGCGTGTGCACCATTAAAACCATAGTGCCAGGATTCAGCAAGTATCAGCACATTGTCATCATATCGAGAATCAAACAAGGACCCCCAAACGTCATGCAGGGCATGTTACCCAAACAGGCCTTTTCGAGCAAGGCGTGCGAATTGTGAATTCCACCCACTTTCCCGCGTCCCAATTAAGTCGATCTGCACCCGACTTCAATGCCAAAGTTGCGTCCCAGCATTGAACCTGCTGCTCCTGCTGCTGCTGCTGCTGCTGCTGTAGCAAGTCGTGCTCCACTGCAAAAGTAACAGAGCGGAACAGCCAAGCAACGCAATATTACTGCAACTTATTTGCGCAGTCCTGCCGTATATTTCCACCGTGCTGTACCAAACTTGATGACCCACGAGAGAGTTTGCTGTATGGTTATGCCGCATGCTGTTCAAAGTCGCGGCATCTGCAATAGGCAGCGAACATGCACAAAAAGGGTGTTGGCTTGCTTGTATCTGGCGTTGGGCAACTATTCATTTACATCACTGGAGCACTAGCCGAGTTGTGTCGACCAGGCAATACAGAGAGGGTGTTCATTTGGGCGCGTTTTTTGGGGACCTCTTGTATCCCCGCCTTGCTGTCCCAGCTTGGCGCTGAGCAACTTGAATTACGTCGTCGGAGCACAGCTCGAGCCGTGCACACCACATGGGCGTTCATGCTATGATGTGCCGTGCAAGGTTCCGAAAAAATGGCGGTTGCCCGCGACAGGAGAAAACTTAATTGTTCGTGCGCCAGTGTGTTATGCCAGAACTGATGATGATCCCAAACGAAGTTCATCATTAACACGACTGTATTGCCATTGCTCATGAAATCAATGTTCAAGCATTTGTCCAAATGCTTGTTGCCACACGCCGCAGCAACTATGAACAGCCGCTGGTGACCCAGGACCTTGTCACGGAGCCGTGCGCAGAACGCACCCGGCCGAGCTCCAAGGGATGGCTGCGAAAACTTCTGTCACATTCGTACTTTGTAGCTGCATGCTACAAATCCTCAAAAGATGATTGTTGTGTTCGGGAGGGGCACTCGAAGAAAAGGGGGCGGAAATGCTAGCGCGATGTTCATGTTGTGATTGTGGGGAGAAATCGCGAGCCTACGTGGGACGCCACAGGGTCACATGGCAATGTTCAAAGACAGCATTCGCAGGTGGAAAGGCACGACCAGATCTACCAGTCCTGGGTGCGTCATGGACATTCTGTGCCAAACCTGGCCCCCTGTGGCTGGCATCACAGCTGCGACAATGACAATGTCTACTAGCAGACATTTTCACCACTGTTCTCTTATCCGTACTGTTGGTACCACGGCCTTTGCTCCTGTGTCAGTACGGGACTGATGCAGGTAGGTTGTCTCTATCATGCAAGAATGGCATGTCATTCCATGGCAACACTACTCGATCAAAATGTTCACGGATGGCCTGAGATACGGTAAGTCTTGATAAGGCAAGTCTTGCCAGCTTGGGAGCTTTGGTCCGTGCTTCATGTTTGCAGACTTCGGCTGAGTAGTTTCGAGCAAGTCCCTCCCTGAAGTTTCGGGTATTCGACAAATCCTAACATGCGCCCTAATCCCGCAGGCTCAAAACAAACCCCATGTCCAGATAATACAACCCATTCCCTGGAACCCGCGAGACCCAAAAAAGCGGAGCAAACCCCAAACCCTGAACATGTCAACATCCTAAATAGATAGAATATGGCTTTGGGTATAATATACTAAGATCCGAATGTACCCCATATTCTATCTACTTAAGGGGGACTATAAACCTTTTTGTGGCTCTCTGGCCACACTTTGCGCAGAGCAGCTCGATCGTGTCCTGCGGGGCTTTTGCCCCAGCTCGGTTTCGTCAACGTGGGGCTCGGGCTTCAGGTAATTAATCCGCACCATATTTCAAAACATCCGCTTCATGCACATACCGTGTACTCATATTAGGGAAATAAGGCTACAGGTTTAGAGTATAGAGATTAGGACATTGTTTGCAGAACTGCTTGCCAAACCTGAAACCGGAAAGTACAGTCCCGCGATTTCGGAACCCGCCAGATGGCGTGATGCATTATCATGATGACGGCAGAGCGTCGTGAAACCGCGCGCAGCTACTTCCAGCGCACCCTAGGGCAAAGCACAAGCCAGATTGGCGCAAGTGAGAATGAGGGCTCCCGACCGGGCACAATAGTTGCGCGCACCAGGCTGATTATTTCGTGAATGAATGTGAAGACGAAAAATAATGCCCTGCTTGGACAGCCCAACTGGACTTGTATCGCTCGAACTATTAGTTCAGGGCTTCTGGGGTCGTCTTGTTTATGGCTTCCACTTCAAAGATCTCCCAACTCGGCATTTCTGCCGTGCCCAGCCCATCAATCGGTTGGAGGGGTCAGAAATTAAGAAGGCTGACAGACACTTGTTAGGGGCGCGGCGCCCTCAAGTACAAATGGTGCAACAATTATCCTGGTGTATCCGTGAATGAACCTGCAAGAAAATCTGAAAGCTTAGTAGTATAAAAGTACCAAATAATACAATACAATACAATACAATACAATACAATACAGTAAGATATAATATCATTTAAGAAATACTATAAACGAATATCAAATAACATAATAGCATATAACATAATATCATATAATATAAGAAGGTTTAGAAGAAGGCCCGCCGAAGCCGTCCTGTCGGGTGCGCATGCGCCATTGTACCGCGGAGATTACGTGGACCCCCCACCCTGTAATAGGGGTATAATAGGGATATGGGGTTTCCCAAAATTAGGGGTACCTTCTTGGGGGTCCCCATAATAAGGACTTTAGTATTTTGGGGTGTAAGAGGACACTTACATAATCAACGGTTATCCCTTATAGTCACTATTACTGGATGGGTGGTCTGCGTAAAATAGAGAACTCACGAAGCAGGCACAGAAGGTGAGCAGGCTTGGCCCAGGAGAGAAGTGAATCATGCATTGTTCCATAACTGGGGGCCCTGACAGTAATATGCTATAATCCTTTGTATGGGACCCAGAAGGACACGATGGACCTTGCACTCTCTGCTCAGCTACCTGCCTGAAAAACCTAATCCTACTGCAGCCGGCAGGGAAGCACAGAAGCTCACCAAACAAAGATCACAGGGTTTGTCGACGGCTTTCAGGTCGGCCAGACATTTTAAATATCTCAACAAAAGCCTGAAGTGCCCATACAACGTGCTCTCCTGTGGTCCCCGAGCCAGGGGGTTTCACCCCGTGTAGCGGACGAGCCGACTCTCCTTGTAGTGGTTGATGTGGCCGGACTTCCTGAGGAAGACCTGTGCGAGTGATAAGCATTCTTGGAACCCTCAAAATTAAGGCCCATATCTTAATATATTGTACTATATTATGGTATTTTGTACTAGATTATATTAGATTAGCTATCATGTGAATCCTATTGGCCGATTTGAGGGTCCACCTTTTGGGTTGGCTGCCCAAAAACTCTTGCCTTTACGTCGACAGCAACTGAAGTAGGATTTTGATGTTGGGCTTCCAGCTCTTAGCCATAAGGGAAAGGAGGCGAATTATACAATGTTATAGTATAGTCGAGAATACTATACAAGATTATGCTATATTATACTTTATTATACTAATAGCATACTAGTAGCATACTTTATTATACTATATTGCACTGCATTGAACTAACTTATATTATATTGTGCTATACTATACCAGGGGACGATCATCTGAAGGTTTCCTAAAATCAGGGGTACCCTTCGGGGGGGTCCCCATAGCAAGGACTTCTTCTTGTTACGGATAGAGACATAATAAGGACTACGATGTATCGGGATCTATATTGGGAACCCCCTGCTTCATCGAAACTACCATCCCCTCACTCTAAAATTGAGCCCCCACCCACCCGAGTAATAAACCTTCCCGAATAATATTGTACTCTTGTGTATTGGGGGGAATATCTATCATGGGGGCGGCCGGAAAATGTATCATGTCAAAGGGATGAAAAAGTTGGGTGGCTTGGCCGCCGTGGTGGCATACCAGCAAGTCTGATGGCAGGACGCTCGCAATCATTCTTCTCACAATACTTTGGCTTGCCGGTAACTTCGGCAGACACAAAATCCCCACCTGCAAGCACTGGCAACTTACACCACATGAAGCCATGAACTTTCCAGTAAATTCCAAGCAAGAAATCTAGACCCAATACCTACACATACTACTGTAACCTCCAAACCCCAAACCCCAAACCCAAAATCCTAGACCCTAAACCCCTACACCTCTAAACCCAAAACCCCCAAAACCTCGAAACCCTTCAAGGTCGGCCTCGGGGACCTGCGTGAGCTCTTCATCTTCGATGGAAGCACGCGTGAGCTCGTCGATGCCCAGCCGCAACTTTGTACGCACCTGGGAGCTTCTCATCTTACAAACGTATACTATACTCTATTATATGCTATTCTATTGTACTATATCCTACTAGATTGTACTGTTTTCTACTACATTCTGCTATATTGTACTATATTCTACTATGATGCTATACTATGCCAAGCTATACTGTATGGGGTTCAGGGGCTCAGCAGTTCAGGCGCTTAGGACTTCAGATTCAGAGTCTGATGTTTGAGGACTGTAGGGTTTAGGGTCGTCAGTTTCGAGTGGAGAGCCTGAGGTTTTCATGGCAAGGAGAATAGCAGTATATTATAGTATATTATGGTATATTATGGTATATTAGGTACCCATTGGGGTTGTATTGGTGATAATGGAAAAGAAAATGGAAACTACTATAATGAGTTTAGGGGTTTCTCACCTCACGGGCAGAGCGGGGCTTGCAAAAGGTCAGTGTTTAGTTGCCAGGGTTTGGGGTCTAGCCCACACACAAGTTGAATGATGTTGCCTCTGTACGAGCTTCTCTCAACATGTGAGGCCGTTAAAGTAGCGATAGTGGTTTGAAGTGAGCCTTGTCCAGGTACGATCCGTTCAAAGTAACCTCCATCACATGCCAGAAGGGATCTAGACTAGATGTGGGTTGGAATTTCACCAAGCCCTCGCCTCCTCCAGTGTTGCCGCCACGTGGTCCGTGCGCGTCACCAGTCGCGTGGTGAATGTCGCTGTACCGCCAATGCGGGCGGTCAGGCAACCTTAGATCAAGCTCACCTTTCGGTCAAGTTTTTCGGACTGGGTCTTCAAAGGTTGCATTGTTCTTGAAACGGAAAACACTCCAAGAAGGAGAACCCAAAGCATGCAAATGAAGGAAATCGATCCTGAGACATGCTAAGTCGTAAAGGGATTTGCGTATTGTCTTACCAGGGCAAGGATGCGTGCAGAAAATCAAGTAACTGCTGAACACTCAAGATGGAGCATGGAGGTTTAATGTGTGACCTCAAAAAGTCTCCTTGGGTGCATTAGGCATATGAGAGTTCAAGACATTTCCGAGGTTCCCATAATTGTCAAGTGTCGCCGCTGTCACTTTTGCGGCTCTTTCTCATGCAAGAACTACTGTGTTGATGTCCGCATGCGTATTTGGGACCTTCAGGATTCCAAAAGGTTGGTGGATCTTTGGCACTGTCAGTTGTCTTGGGCACCGCCACACGACCTTGTAGAACTGGGAATCTGATCCCTTTTCCGAGTCTTGACCTTATCGGTGTCTTGTCCTGTTTTCTTCTTTCAATCCGACCGTGACTTCTTCTTTCTAACGGGCCACCTCTTTGGCTAAAGGTGCTTCAGGCTCGGACGGGGTTGGTACTACCAGGCGTGTTATCATTTGGCGGTCATAATGGTTCTCATTTCTGCTTATATACCATTTTTTAGGATCCTGCAATCCACTTTCAGAACTTGAAAGTCCCAGGAGCACGTGTCGAAGGGTGTGGCCTTCGAGGTCAAGGACTTGATGCTCTCCTTCAGGGCATGTGCTTGACCATGCTTTCTTTCCGGGGAGGGGGACGCTGTGGACGCTTGTTTTTGTTGTAGTTTTGAGTTAGTGGTGGCACCATGAAACCCTCTCCAAAAAACTCAGATACACCCATCTGCAACACGCTTGTTTGGTTTATAGTTCTGAGTTAAGCAAAAGAATGTTTTCTTGACATGTACAGAAGGGGGTCTGAACTAAAAGCACAAAACCTTCTCCATAGGAGGAGAGAACTCAAGCTCCAGTTGATTATCTTACCTTCTATGCGATCAACAAGAAACACCGGCAAGGAACTGGAGCTTCCACTTCTCTCAAGTCAATTTGCATCTCACATGTATGTTGATTGTGGAGAGGAGGGATTTCCACATAATTGACTATTTTGAATATAACACCTGCAAAGCACTCCTAAATTCTTAAAGAAACAAGCGTCCACAGCGTCCCTTTCTGTTCAGAAAAGGACGAAAGTGGCACAGCTTCAGCTTCGAGGGCTTAGAGCTGCGGGTGCGGAGCGCATAGCTGGGGTCAAAGCAGGGCCTCAAGCAACAAGAGCCTTCCCAAGTTAGCAATCGCCTCAGTAAAGGCAGCCCAACTCATTAAACTTTCATCGTACCCGCTTCCGGATCTAGCAGTAGTTCTTGTCGTACTTGGCCGGCATGAACTGCAGCAGGAGAAGCTATAGACTTGTCATGATATCCAAAGTCATGTCAACGCAAAGCTCAGAACAGAAACGTATTCTGGGACCGGTTGGTATGGTGTTCCTTTGGCTCCGAAATACAAGTTCTCTGACATCCGATGCGCGGTCAGCAAACCTTGACAACATTCACTTCTGATGGGCGCCAAGGCTAGACTCCCCAAATCCCCGGCAGCAGGGTCCATGAGCTCATCCAGGGTGATGCGCCCAGTCTGCAAGACGTCCACATGCTCGAAGAGCGTCAGTGCATCAGAGACTGGCATCTCCAGGTGTCGGATGGCACCCTGAGCCGCTAAAGCATGTACCGCACAAAGCTTATGGAAACTTTGTATGTGGCGCACAGGCTCTAACTACTGTGGATGGGGGACATTCTTGCACCAACTTGCATACCTTTACCTCAATAATTGCAGTATGTCGGGGATCCGAAGTGGTGCACGATGGTGTAAACTTCCCTCATCTACTGTAGGACATGCAATGCATTTACAGCAGCAGCAACAACAATAAGCATTAGACAAAAAATCATCAGAATCATGCTTTCAAGGATACTAACAGAGAAGTCCTGATCATGCCATTGGATTAACGCTTCGTACTGCGAACACATATACTACAATACTTTCTGCGACACTGACGGATCCTGCGGCAACGAGAACGCCTCAATAATCCCTAAGCTAGTGTCCTGTAGAATCCCCTCTAGAACCCCGTTAAGGACTTGAGACTATAGCTCACATAATCCTTATATGACCCTATATATTATAGCAGTTTCCATTTCATCTTCAATTTTCTTTTCCATTTGATTCTCAAGCATTGGGGGATAATATCCCTAAACCGTAATCCCACCTGATGTCACGAAATCATTCCGCCAGGGCGCCATGATCTCTGGGATGGTCATCGCATCTCGGAGCTCCTGGTAGTCAATGAAGTTACCTGAGCGCTCCGACCTCCCTTCTATGGGGATTACTTGGGTTTGGGCATTTTTGGGGATGACTTAGGCTTGGGCGCTGTTGGGGATTACTTAGGTGTGGGTGTATATGGGGATTACTGAGGTCAGGGTTTGTTTTTAGAGGCTTAGGGTTCAGGGTTTTAGGGCTTAGGGTTTGAGGTTCGGGTTCTACGGGACTGTGTAAGTCTGAATGAGGCCAGAGTGATGGTATGGGCACCATAGAAGGGCATGCACCAAAATGACTATCCATAATGACCAGTCATGGCGGGAACACCCTTGAGATGTCAGCCCACTGCCTCGTTGCGTTCCTGATTCACTTTGGTTCGGAAAGGAGGCTGGCCTTGACTGCCAAAAAGGCTCTTTGATCCCAGAGCAAGGGGCCTCAAGAGTGGACTGTCCTCAAGAAGCGATTCAGAGGAACGGCGGCCAAATCACCTCATGCACACCTCTCTGAGAATAGCTTCTGGCCCTAAAAGGAACGGAAGGGGCTGATGCAAGGGCCCCTGTTCGCCTTGCCTAACCCTCTCAGGCAAGAGAACTGAAGCGGGCTCACGCCTCAGCTCTACTTAGTTGTGGAGTCCCTGCATGACGTTGGGGCTGCACCAGTACCCTTTTTGCCAGGCCACGATCCTGCATCATCAGGCCTTGGAAAATTGAGGATTTTCAGATGTGGTGCCATGAGCTTGTGGATCAGGGTTTGGGAATCTGTTGTAAGGCTTTAGGTGCGGCACGCACGGAAAAACTACTGCCTGCTTGGAAGAAGGGCGTGAGACTTCGGAAGGACAAGGAAGGCTCATACTCTGGAGGCTCGTGCGAAAATCGAAGCTAGCAAGGACGAGGCATTACAACGACACACAGAGAATAAAGTTAAAGCAGACTGGAAGGTCTTATAAAGAAATGTCGGATGTCCTCCTAAAGGTATGTGTTGTTTTGAGAAGTCCTCTGTGAACCTCACGGATCTGAGCAATCTCTCAGGTGCTGAATTGATACACGTATATATTGGGGTTATATAGGGATAATGGAAAAGAAAATGGAAACTACTACAGTATATTGGGGTTATATAGGGATAATGGAAAAGAAAATGGAAACTACTACAGACGGCTTGATGACAATGAAGGTTCAGCAAGATAGCCACCTTTTCAGGCCTCACGACACAACACCGCAGCGCATCCTACCAAGCCTTGAAGCCAAAAAATCCTTGCAAGTCATACTCTGCGAAATCCTACGAATCCGCAACCTTACAGCCCGAAGAACAAAAAAAGTGAGGCCCAAGAGTGTACAAGAGATGCTTCCCAGAAAGGAAACTGGATGGTGCTTCAGCAGGCACCTAAAACTGCTTATGGAAGAATTTCCTTACGCAACAAGGAGGGAAACTAAAACACATCCTTGAAAGCTGCCATCTAGAAAACGCCAGGCTGCGAGAAAATGGAAACTATGCGGAAGCTTATGTGCGTAACAATGGAAACACCACCACACATGCTGGATCCCAAACATCGATCATCCTTCCTCTCCCCCAGTAACAAACCCCCCACCCCCTAATACTAAGAATCCCCCGAATATGAAGGTGATAGTACGTAGTATGTTGGGGGCAGTTATTCTGCCTGGGGGTGGTTTACTAGTAGCGGGAGGGGAATACCCGAAATGACTAAACACTAAACCCAAAATCCAGAGTTGAGATCCCTGGCCCCCAAAGTCATGACAGGAGGGCTCTGCTCGAAATGTGTGCGGATCTCGGACATCGCCTCGCGATCTTCCATGTTTCTCACCTGAGTAGCGTTTTTCTGGGCGGTTGAACCTACTAAGATTACGTTCCTTGCATAAAGTCTACTATACCAAAAGCAGGATATAATCTCACTTTACATTGGGGACTACCGTACCGCGTATCCCCAAATGAGATACTTCTCACCTGAGCCGAACCAGCTTTGGCCAAGTGTTGCAGAGTTGGGACTACTGTGACCTTGTTGGAGGTGGTCGAGAGGTTCAGGGGGTCCAGGGCTTGCAGGGACAGCTCACATATGAGCTATAGTCTAAACTCCTTAAAGGGGGGTTATATAGGGGGGTATATAGGGGACTACTATATGGGTTATTAAGGGGGATACTAGGAGTTTAGACTATGGCTCATATATTGACGCAACCTCACAAACTAGCTCAACCTAGGGTAGGGTTTTGGCATATATGTCAAGAAGGAATATGAGGAAATCAGGTTAGACCTTGTCTCGTCTAGTCCCAAACTACTTAGCACCATACCTGCAGCCTAAACCCCACACTCCGAAAACCTGCACCACATCCTTGGGCTCAGCATCCTGGACCCAAACGCTTTAAGTGATAAGTCTATACTCATCCCTCAGGAGGGCCAAAGTTCCCGCAACCTCAAAGCCTACCGCGCTGTAGACCCTAATTTCAAGAGCTTGAAGACTTAGCTCAAAACTCCAAAGCCTTCAAACCCGGACGTGATGGCCCGAGCGGCGTAGGCACCATGGTCTCCACCGCTTCTAGCCTCCTCCACTGTGGCCCAGACCTTATTATAGGGCTTCACAGCAAAGGCAATTTCTGGAGGAAGCCTTCAAGGGGCGCAGTCCAGAGAAGGCGCTTACAAGGTTTGCTTATGCACGTGAACATGTACATACGTATGTATATATATATATATGCGCACAAATATGGTTTTATGGAATAAGATGCAGGGTAGAATAAGTCTCAAGTGCGCGGCAATCCTGTAAGGCTTGCACATAATTCAGTCTCATAAGGCACCACGGGGAAATGCGGCTTTTTATGAGGTGCTCACCGCTTGTTCTCTAGAGATACATGACATGAGTGTGGAGACAGATGGGGACTACAGGATGTCAAAGATTTGCGCTTGCCAGCTTTTTCCGGTGCTGTCGATCACAGAAGAAAGCACGGGCCTGAGCGTTAGGCCTTCACAGCTGCAGGACGTTTTAGATTTCGAGGTTTGGAGTTCAAGTTCAAGCCCACAGGCTTCAGAACAACGGTACAATGTCCGGACAGGAGAAAAGATCCGCATACCAAGTAAAATGACACACATCAAACCAGAAGAGATCAACCTAACTCGCTGGCTCCTTCTTTGATAGGCATCTCTTAGGAGGACCCCCCCCCCACCCTGTAATAGTGGTATAATAGGCATATAGGACGACCCTAATATAATCCTTATTATCCATAATAGTCACTATTACTGGGTGGGGGGCCACTAAGGCATCTCGCCTCAGGAAGAAGTGAAGGGCGGTGGGTTCCAGATCGCAACGGGTGGAGGGATGCTACCCTGGTCCTGGGAGCACACTTTGGGGCCTGCTAACCCTAAACCTAAACCCTATAGTAGTTTCCATTTAATTTTCCATTATCCCAGTATTCATAATAATCCCTATATAACCCCGATATCCTGTTGTATGATTGTTGCCATCCCCTAATCTATACCAGCGCGTTTAATATCACGTGAGGGTGGGCGGCCAAGGCATTCTGAATCACGAGAACCCACCTAGTGAGCCAGTTGGGAAAACGTAAGTAGACTTCCTCTTGGCCTAATTGGAGCAGCTTCATTTTCGGACGATTTTCCAGCATGGGAAGAAGCAAGGTCGCCTCAGCGCGTAATCTGCCAGAGAGGCTTTGAGAGTTCGCGCTGGGCAGGCATCGAAGTGTAGCTGGCTAACAGGTTATATGAGATCCTCGAAATGTCCCTTTAGGCCCTATGTTTTGTCTTGTATAGCTTTGATTAACCACCCGTGAACTACAACGGGAAGTCTGTAGATAAATCGCAAAACTCCCAGAGATAAAGAAGAACTTCAGTAACTCTTTTAGCGTGCAGCACTGGAAGTGATAAGTGAAGATCTCCCATCAGGAGTCGAGGAACCATCACGCCGATGCCCAAACTGATCATCGTGTAGGACCTGAAAGAAAGGGCCCTCCAAATGAGCGCGACCAGCATCAAGGATCCGAGACGTGTTCGGCTTGGAGTTCAGTATGTATGGCTTTATAATGCCCAAACAGATGCTCTTGATAGCGGCTCCAGACTTAGGAAGTGTCGCAATGAGGTTGCTGCTGCATAGTTGTGGGATCTAGGCCTCAGGTAAAGAAACTAGACACCCATGCTGGTCTTGGATTTATGAAGAAAATCTGGGTACATACATACATACATCAGAAGCCTCCATCCCGATTGGCCACTGTAAAGCCCATCGTCCCAGCTGAAGTCCTAAACGCCTTGCGCATTCTCACAAAACTGGAGGGTTGGATCCTTAAATTCAAAACCTGGCCTTAAGAACTGAACCCCCCAAGCCTTGAGCTATGGTTCTGAGAAGGCCAAATGCAACTGACCCG